CATGTTCAACTTTTCATCGGTCATTTAATTTTTATTATTATAATTATAATTATTATTATTAAAGAAAAAAATTAGTTATGACATTCACTTTTTTCCTGAGCCCTACTGATGTTCCAATCTTTATTCACCTTGTAAAGCTTAATTAGAAATTATTTAAAAAAAAAAAAAATAGAGGCATCGACCTACATCGTTAAAAAGGAAAAGAAATAACAATGAAAATAGATTACTTTAACATATTATCTTTCACTTTAGTGACCCTCAAAAAATAGTGTTAGTTGGATCCATCAGAGGTATTTTGTTTTATTTCTAAAAGTATGACAGATAACTTTCGAACTAAAAAATAGCTAAGGAAGAATTTGAACATTTTTTATATGGTATACGAAGAATTTTGGTATTTTGATATCAATAAAATTAATAAATTGTGAAGGTTCGAAATTTTAAAAGAATGAATATATATTAAAATAAACTAAGCAAATAATAATTAGAGTCGCTAAAAATTTAAACTAAAAGAAAATAATTTATTATTTAAATGCGCAAGCGAACAATAAAATTAGAATGTTCAATATGATTACGAAAATATCTCTTCTATCTTGGTTCATAAAATAAAAAAAAAAATCAAATGATAATTAAAAATAAATAAATAGATATCATGGGGATTAACCTCAACTAGCACTTGAAGAGAGTTGAGAGGTGAACTACTCACAACCTTCTTATTGATTGAGATCTGAATATTGGTCTTCTTGATATGAAATAGTTAATAAAATGGTTCATTACACTAACCCAATAAAGATATCATTACTAATCACTGATATAGAAAACCGAATATTTATAAAAATTATAAAACAACCAATGAAGTCCTTGATTTAAGTAAATATGTTTAACATTAAAATGTTTATTCCACATTGGCCGTTACGGATTTTTTAAAATCAACCTATAAAGAAAAATAACCAGATAACTTTTTAATTTCATGCATAAGATCTGCAACTCTTCCTTTTAACCTACTTACTGGGACTCTTGAGGGTCCATAGAGATATTTCATTACTCGTGAATCTAGTACTTAGATTGACAATTAACGTGACCGTCTTCATACCCCATATGGTGATGGGCGCCAAACATACAATCATCTCGATACTCCGTCCGATAAGATGGTGAACCATATCTCCTAAGACCTTCCGATATGGAACTTCGCAGCTCCGTCCGACTAATGTAATGTCCACAGTAGGGTTATCTATATACCGAGTTCGTCCACCTTTTTTCGGGGTACCCAATAAGTTTCAACATCATCCTAACAATCACAATTTGCATACCAATATCTCATTACGTATTTATAGATTAACTTAAAAGGCCTCTAAACAAGCAATACAGTTTATGATAACTGGGTAACCAAATAAACAAATAAACAGTGCAGAGGGAACTAAGTAAAACAGATAACTGAGGGCACAGTTCAAACTAGCAATTTAATGCACATAATTCAATAGTAAACATTTTAAGCAATACATGAGAAAATAAACAGTAAACTAGGGCAATCGTACATTGACCAGTTTTACCTTTATTAGTGATATGTAATTATTATTAGAGTTTTTCTAATTTTCACAAAATACTGAATTATTAATTTTTAAGCCTCAATTCACTGTAATAGGGAATAAGGTGATACATTCTTGTTTGGATCAGTGTTTCGAAACACTATGCTACCTATTACGCCTCTTGACAGGCCCCGAATTTTTTTAAGTTTTTTCTGCAAAAATAAACATACCCATCATGTACAAAAAAATACTTCAAAAATCTAAAATCAGTATTGAAAATTCATTTCAGCCAATTTTAGGGTTCTAGCACAACAGCAGCACCGTGCTCTGGCGCCGACTCCACCGTCCACAGCGGCAGTTCACTTCAGCCTGGCCAGTTTTGGCCGACTTTGATCAGTTTTAGCTATTTTTACACATATCTCTGCGAAAAAATACATTAAAAAGCATTTGTTGGCTAGAAAAATAAAAAATTTGAACCTACCGATGGGGGAGGGGTCTCCGGGTGCAGCGGCTTTACCGGTTCTTTTTTCGAGACTAGAGTTTCTTCTTCAGTTAACCTGCACATAAAGGGACGGTGAATACAATGGTCAAATAATCATGTGAAATAGGAAACATGAAGGGAGTCATCGGAGAGGGTTTAGGGGGCTCCATCAGACTTTACCCCCAGTTTTCAGCTCATCTATTGATCTTTTAGCTCTGATAATGCCACAGGGAAGCTCGAGATTGAGTTCCGAGCAGGAAGGAGGAAAATTTTACCTTTCTCGGCAGTCAGCGGTGGCTCTAGTGCAGTGGCAGCATCGTCCCTCTGACGGCTGGTCTTCCCTCCGACCGCCTCCTTCTTTTTCTTCTTTGGTTAGGTGTCAGCTAGGATTTGAGGCTGACTGAAGAGAGGTTTAAATACCTCTTTTCCCTCTGATCCAGGCCGTCCATCCACGTCGACGTGGAGCGATGAGAGTCGTTCAATCGTTGCCTATTTAGACCGATTATGTGGACAAATCTGGACCGTTCATCATAATTGATCTCGTTCGTCTGATTGTGTTTAAAGATAAAATGCATATGAACCATCCGTGCGCATGGGATGTGATCGGGACTGTCGGATCGTCAGACATGCGAATCGTCTACCCGCGTGGTGCCAATGTCAGCGTGTTTTGCCACACGATGTGCTCTGATTCGCCATGGCTGCTGACTGGATCGTCCCATGTGGCTGAATTTCTTTTTTTTTTTGTGATTATACCTCATGTTTTCAAGTTTTCTTTCAAAAACACTATCTTTATTCAAAATTTTACTCATTTTTTCCAAAATTATTTTAAATTTCATTCTTATTTAATTTTTTCTCAAAAATTTAATATAAATTAAATTAAAATAAAATTTATTTATATTTATATATATTATATAAGTTGAAAAAATTTATTTCGTATCAAATTATGGAGCCAGATGTTACGTAAATTCTAAGTTATAAACAATTGCATTTTCTAACTCTTTATGATTTACCAGGCACTCATAATCTAATTATGATTACTTTATGTAATTTTTTATCTTTCTTTTGATTATGACCAATTTTGTGCTCTTAAAAGACTGAAAAAATATGAATATATACTACCTTTATGCTAACATCGTTTCTACTGCAACAAATAAAAAAAAAGGCCAAAATCTAATGTATAATAATATCTTTATCAACATTTAGGTAGTAACAAGTGGTAGTAAAATATAAAAACTTAGTAATATTTTGTAAATTTTTTGACAAAATATAAATACTTGATACATTTTAGAGGACGTTTGACAATAAATATTGAAAATATAATCGCATGATACTGTTTACAAAATATATTTTGAGAAGATATAACATTTGATACCATTACATAACATACATATGAGGTTGTAAAATAAAGACTCACGGTATCATTTCACGGCAAAACGGTAACAAAATTCTAGTACTATGTCTAATGATGTGTGATGATAAAATATAGATCAGAGATGACATGACATATAGTAGGTATATCCATCCTTATACTCGGCTTTATTAGTAAAAATATAATGACACATGCGAAGTACAAATAAAACTTTATATTCATCACTCACCCCATTTACATTTTTTTTTAATAGAAAATTATACTATATAAATAATAAAATTTAATTAAAAATATTAAATGTTTATCAAAATAAAATATAATTCAAAATAATATTTAAACATAGTTTACTCAATAATAAATATAAAATAACATTATAAATTAAGTATTAATAAAAATTTAGTTAACTTGAGTAAAAATAAATATGAATTAAAAATTTGGGCAATATACATATACATATATAAAATGAAGCGGGCAGGATAAGTTCAAGAATATAGGTACGTATATCATTTCATTATATATGAAAGTTTTATTTATACGGTTAATTTATCAATCATTATTAATTGTTATGATAAAATTATTCTTACGTATTATAATTCTATTTTCAATTTTTTTTTTGTTATATTACGATTCTAGACATTTTTTATTTATTTATTTCAAATGATTATTTTCTTTATATTTTTTAATAAAAAAATTTAAAATGATTATATCATATTTAAATTGTTTAAAAAATAACTCAAAAAAATGACTTTAACTAAGTTTCTTAATTTAATTAATTAATTAGTCAAAATTATTTTTTAAATCATTTTTAGAAAGTATCTAAACATGAAATAACTATTTTAATTTTTTTACTAGTAAATAAATAAAAAAAAAAACTAAATATGTGAAACAAATAAAAAACGTTAGTAATTAAATTGTATTGTAACAAAAAAAATATTAGAGAGTAAATAGTAAGAAGTACCAAATTTAGGGAACTAAATTATTACTACATTACTTGACTATGTTATCAAAAGTTACTAGGTTATGATATTTTGAGTATTATTTTTATTTGTAAATATTATTAAAAGTTATGAATTTGTACTAAATAAATATCATAGTGAATTAATGAAAATAATATTTGATCTGTGGAATAAATTAAAAATAATAATATAGATAATGTTACTCCCGTATGATTTTTAGAAATATTTTTAAGAGCTTACACCTTCAACTAACACCAATGTGGAAGAACAACTACTTGAGAGATACATGAACACTTTTTTGGTGAGTTGTACTTGAAGACAAATACTTTACCAGTTGTTATAATTCTTTTATTTAGTCAATATTTCTAAGTAAATAAATATTTCCATTTAATTTATTAAATAATTTGTGTATATTTTCGTACTCCATGTTATTTTGTCCTTAAATTTGTTGAAGCTACCATACAAAAATTGCTTTTTTTAAATGTATCAAAATTGAAATCTGAAAATTATTGAGTGCCCGATACACGAGGGAAGCCAAGTAAAGACAGAGAAACCGCGAGGACGGTGGACAGCCGGTAACAGGTAAATAAATATTAAAATTAAAAAAAAAAAAGAGGAAAACGGAAAAGCAAAATTACAGTACAGTGAAAGAAATGAGGAAACACAATCCACTCACCATTATAGCGATCATCAACACACATTAAGCAACCACTCCACATGCGATCTTCGTCTTCACCAGAAAAAGAGAAGAAAAAGAAATGCTGCTTCAAGCTTAAAGATTCATACAGCTCGCCTCGCCTATTTTCTGAAAGCCCTAGCCCAACAATAACTGAATCAAACTCCTCGCCCCAGGTTTGTTTCCTCCATGTCATCTTTTATTTTACCTATTTTATTCGTTAAATCGAAAAAAAAAAAAAGGTCCATCTCTCTCCATTAATGCCAATTGTTATTTCTTTTAATTTATAGTCAGAGAATCTCTGGGCGTATGTGATTTAACGTGGCATTGAAGCACCTGCGAAGATTTACAGCAGTAAGTAATGTGTCTCGAAATTTGTGCTCTTACTACTTAAACGCCCACCGATTCTCTGTTTGTTTCTTCTTGAATTTGCTTCCTTGCTTTTCTTTCTTTCTTTCTTTCCTACGACAAATTTGCTGTTGGAGCGAATATCGATAAACTGACGATGTGGTTACCGAAGTTTAACAATGTAGCTCAATATTTGTAATATCAGAGTTTCGTTGCCTAGTACAATCGATCGCTTTTGAGAGAATCTGAAAATGCTAACGTGCATAGCTCGTCCTAAGCAACCCGGTGATGATTCTCTGAGTCAGTCTGATGAGTTGGGTGCCACCAACAACCCCGCTAACAAGAATCAGGCCGTCAAATCGCTCACGTCTCAGGTGTTCAATTTAATTTATCAAAGCTTAAGTTAGGGGAACAGACTAGGAAATTACGACCTATTTTGTTGTTGTTTGTCATTTTGATGCTGATTGGTGATAGTTGTTACTCGAATTTGCAGCTGAAAGACATGGCCTTAAAAGCGTCAGGAGCGTACCGCCACTGTAATCCGTGCACGGGGCCGGCGGGTCAGAGCCGGTTCAGGAATTCGGGCGAGTCGGATGCGGAATCGGACCGGTTCAGGTGGTCGTACCGGAGGACTGGAAGCTCAAGCTCGACAACGCCTAGGACGTGGGGGAAAGAGATGGAGGCGAGGCTCAAGGGGATATCGAGCGGCGAGGCCACCCCGAAATCGATGAGTAGGCGCCGGGCCGATCCGATTGTTTACGTCTTGGAGAACGAGCCAAAAGAGTGGGTGGCCCAAGTGGAGCCCGGCGTCCTCATCACCTTTGTCTCCCTCCCGCGTGGCGGTAATGATCTGAAGCGGATACGGTTTAGGTACGCATTCCTCTCGCAATTACACATCTACGGTCCATATACATATCTGATTCTTAGTTTCAATCGGACAGTCAATAAGCGTTTACTTTGTTATTACTCTTTTAGTGGAGCGCACACTTTATTGATTGAAACCCTAGGGGTTGTTTGGAATCCTTATTTGGCGTTCCAAAAGAAAAGGAAATATCTACAACTGCTGCTTCATATCTACATAATTATACACCCTGTTTAGTCTTTTGAATTTTATCTCAATCTGATAGAAAGATGTGAGAGAAGCCTTCTGTTGAATTTTGGTGATCTGGGTAAATAAAAAACCGAATTTGTTTTGGCAATCATATAATGGCCTTTTGTGCTTTTCCTGTACTATAAGATTTGTATTTATTCAAATATATATGAAAAACACTGTATACCAAATTTTATGAGGCATCCAAACGTCTCCTTAGGAAAAACTATTAAAGTTATGAATTCTGGTGGGGGCCCACATTCCACAGTAAGCTTCACGCCTAGCAAAGGTAATCGCAAGAAAGTCCAAAAGTGGAACTCATTGTGCCCTTGGTAGTGGTTGGTGGGGCAGAATTGATTGTGTTGGCAAGCTTTTTCACCCAGCATTGTCGCTTTGTCGGGGAAGAGACTTACCTTTTCTTTCCTTTCAAATTTCTTCACCCCTGATTCTCTGCGACTCTGTCTTCTTGCTACTATCATATCATGTTTTGTCTGCAATACACATGATCTACCACACCAAAACTATATGCAAGACAAAATATGACCCTTTGTTGGGCTGATGTTGGCTACTAAACAAGGACATGACTGGAGTCCATGGACCTTTCTTGTTCTCGTGGTGACAATAACGAGAGCGTTTCATAAATTTGACTATGGGAACAATGCCAAATTTTCTGTCATTTTGATCAAATATCTTGAATATTTTCTTACCTTGTATTTATTTATTTATTGATTTTTAATTTTAAACAGTAGTACAACCACTTGTTTTAGAGACGTCCAGTGAGAACGTCCGGTAGTTGTTATTGATATCATGAAATAAATCCACTAAATAGTTCTACTCCCTCGTATTTCGGTTGATTAGACAACACCACTTAAAGCTAAAGGAAAGATCCCAACTTCAAAAATATATAAATAAATAAATAAGACAATTAAACTATTCCTTCTCCCGTAGGGCAGTTATATGCTTTATAATGCTTTTAAAAGATGGCTTTATTCCACTAGTCGAAAGATGCCGCCTAGTCTAGTGCACTTTCGTATTCACTGGCTATTACATAATGATATCTTGATCTCAAGCATCATACAACGTGTCAACGAGTTATATTGGGACGTGGATTTACTTAATTATCTTGTTTGTTTTAAATGTGAAGGCTGTCATGCTATAGGAAAGTGGAAATTTTCATCCATCTTAGCATTCTTCTTCAAAATTTTGACTGTAGTGTGTTTGGTGCTCATGACGCATTTCTTTTTTAAAGCATTGTATCAGCCAATTTTTTTGACCTAATTATATGCTATGTTACATGCGGCATGCTCTATCATCATGAACACTATTTTTTCTAAACTGTAGCTTGTTTCTCTTATTAGTCGAGACATGTTCAACAAATGGCAAGCTCAGAGATGGTGGGCTGAGAACTATGACCGGGTCATGGAACTTTACAATGTTCAGAGGTTTAATCGCCAAGCTTTTCCACTTCCAACACCACCAAGATCTGAAGATGAAGTGAGCTTTGAATTTGTTGCCTTACTAAGAAACCTTATTTAACTGATGATAGCTTCAAAATCTTTAATTGTCACTTCAATTCAACGATGCTTTGTTTCAAAATGCAAAAAAACTTTGGTTACCAGTATTATTTCAGCCACTAATAAGAATTATACATCGTGTTTTATAAGCTACAAGAAGATTTATGTTCTACTTACAAAAACTTAATGTTAATGCTGTGAATTCTTTCAATCTGTTACAGAGCTCAAAAATGGAGTCTGCGGAAGCCAGCCCCGTAACACCGCCATTGACCAGAGAACGATTACCCCGTAACTTGTATCGTCCGATGGGATTGGGTTATTCATCCTCAGATTCTCTTGAGCATCACCCAATGCAAGCTCGGAATTATTGTGATTCTGGTGGTTTCAATTCAACCCCAAAGCTCTCCAGCATTAGTGGAGCCAAAACTGAGACGTCATCAATGGATGCCTCCATGAGAAGTAGCTCATCAAGAGATATAGATCGCTCAGGAGAGCTATCAATCAGTAATGCCAGTGATCTCGAGACTGAGTGGGTGGAACAGGATGAGCCAGGGGTTTATATCACTATCAGAGCCTTATCAGGAGGCAAAAGAGAGCTTAGACGAGTCAGATTCAGGTAAGCTTTCTAAGGAAACATCTGTTAGATTGAAAGAACCTCATTTGAAAAAGTAAATGATTCACTGTCTATGTACCTGAATAAGAAAAGAGGCCCTGCTAGACAAACATGTTTATGCAAATTACAACTGAGTCCAGTGCTTTCACAGTTGGTTGCTGGATGCATCAGCTAACACATTCAGATTATGTGTTGCGTGATGCAACTGGGTCTTGTGTCAACTAAACTTGTTAGATTTTGGTCCTATTTGCCATGGCAAGATAATCCTCTGAGTAACTGAACAGAATATAGGATATGGGTCAATCAACACTTACATGTCGAATCTATTAGATATTCATAAATTTGATAACAGCAGTAGATCCCTTTTATTAGTTACCCACATATGATATCTATCTGCACAATATATCCTGTCAAGGTCACTGAATCATTTCTGTTGTAGGCACCGTCATTCACTGCCAATTACCCAAATTATTGGTCATTAATCGGGGGATTCCATTTGTATCATTTTAACCAGCATAAACAGAACATTTTTTCTTCTTACAAGACACTCCCTGCAGGCTGTCCAAAAGGAATTTCCTTCCTGTAGATCAAGTTGACTTTACTGTAGCATACTTTTTTTATATACCAAACAGAGGAGAGGAGAGAGAAAAGACTTGAGACTGATGGCCCCAGCATAATGTCCAAGTTATAATTGAGGTCTAAATTAGAAAAAATACCAGCTGTTAGAAACAAAATTATTAGTGGTAACTTCTTTATGACATCATTGTTACTTTGGCCAATCATGCTGCTTCCCCTTATTTTGCTTGTGCTATTGCAAATTATCAAAATAAACTTTTGTTTCTCATTTGTACCCTGCTAATTTGCTTGCATGGTGTATTTGTTGTCATTATGCAGCCGAGAAAGATTCGGGGAAATGCATGCTAGGCTGTGGTGGGAAGAGAATCGGGCAAGGATACATGAACAGTACTTGTAATATGAAGAAAGCACAGTGCCTGGTGGTACTTTTTAGATTACGGGGGTGTGTTTTTGTCATTTTCTCTGCCATACACTACTAGATCCCTTTCTATAGAGATCTGAACAGGTGCTACTTGCACTTGATACACAAAATCATTAAAATCGGTAAAACCAAAGAGGTTTGTCAATGTTGTAATACCTTAAAAAAAAATATCCTTATGGAGTGTAGGTGGTCAAGTACTGGGTTTATGATATTAGTTTCTCTTAATGATTTGGTGGATAAAGAGCAATTATGTGTTTGGGTTCTTTGGATGATAAACACATCAAATATCAAGGAAAGAATGTCTATTTTATTGTCTTCTATGCACCATCCTTTTACTTGGGGCAAACATGTATGTTTGGTGCAATGGATTATCTGATACACTTAGAGAATTTTTTAAAAATGCTTCGAAAAATTAACAGAATTGTTTCTCTTCATGTCAACTTGGTCTAGTTGAATGCAGTAGGCATCTCTTCTTCTATCTTTTTTTTTTTTTTCTTTTTTATGTTTTTTTTTTCAAAAACTATGTATCCACACACAGAGAAGTAGGATAATTACAGTGAGGCATCCATTGTTTGAAGTTGCCATGGTGACTGAGGTTTTCAGGAGGTGTTATGACAAGTTGCTATGACATATGGGACTTCTGTTAAGTGTTACGAGAAATGTTGCGGTGCAGGGAAATTCTGGTAGGTGTTATGAGAAGTAGCTACAACATATAGGGCTTGTGGAAGGTGTTATAAGAAGTTGCTGTAGTGCATGAGACTTCTGAAAGGTGTTGCCAAATGTTGCTGCCATGATTAGTGTAACACACTTTGAGGAACGAGGAATATGGAAATTTGGTTTTATTTTTCTCTACATATGTGTGTGTGTGTGTGTGTATATATACATAAATATGTTGGTGCACGGTACAAAGTGCAAAATTTACTAGGGCGTGCCGGGTAAAACATAATACAAATTTGAAAATTTTTTAAATGAGCAGCCATCCTAAGGCATTTGATAAGAAGATCCTTTCTCTCTATCTCTTTATTTATTGTGCAAATGAATTATCAGCCTTGACTTGTGACACCGAGAAAAGAGGTCACTGTTTCATTCATATTCCATATTCTCTTTATTGATGATAGCCTTATTTTTAGTAAAGCTAAGAGAAAAAATATACTGTCACTTAGGAAACGTGTGTATGATTACTTAGCAGCCTCAAGTCAATTAACAGAAGGAGTTGGCATCAGAATTGACAAAGTCTAAGAAAGATACTGCAAATGAGTTTTGTGACTGCTCAAAGTAAGTACATGGGATTAGTTTTAATTATTGGAGGCCATCCACGACAATCTTCTCTTTCTTGGTTGAAAATAAAACAATTATGCTAAAGCCAGTGGCTTAATCGATCCCTTTGCATATATAACAAATATTCTTCTACTTCCTCAGACAATGTTTTTAAGCAAATGGAAGCCATTGGGTCAAATTTCTGGCTTGGCCAAACTCATTGTAAAGTTGTATGGAGCCAAGTATTATAGGGGCTGAATTTAGTAACGCATAACTGGGTCATACAACTACCTTCACATAGATTAGTATTTTATCTTAAAGGAATCCATTACCATAGAAGATTTGACTAATTATTAAAAAATAGTTTAGTATGTTATAAGAAAAATAAGATAGTAAATGATGTGCAACATTTTTATCATATTTTTTATACACTTGTTACATAAATTTATAACAAATTTGAATAAATTTCGAGTAAAAATCAAACTGTAAGTTAATTTTTTATGCAGATTGCATTGTTGAATAAAAGAGAAACGATTGAAAAGAAAAGAAGAGAAGAGGAAGAGATCGGTCTAGACCCTTAGCAGCAACCCTGCCTGGCAACAACACTCAAAACGATACTGTTTTGATGAATGAAAAAAAATAGGAATAAAAAGAGACATGTACATCTTTGAAGAGGAAAAAGACACTTTGAAAAGGAAAAAATGGAAGCCAGAAAAGGAAAGGAGGAGGTGTGCGAAAAAGAAAACCTACCTCTAGTCGCTTATAAAAGGGAGCAGAACCCAAGCTAGAGAGAGGTAGAGAGGAACTGACAGAGAGCTGGGCAGGGAGCTTGGTGCAAAAGCTTGCAGAAGCAGAGTCACAAGCTGCTGGAGAAGAAGCAGAACTGCAATGAGTTGGGTGGAAGGCAGAACCAGAAGAACAAACAGAAGAGGGAGCCGACACGGACTGGGAAGAAAGCAAAAGGAAGCTTGGAGCAGAGCGGTGACAGAGAGGAGCTGAGAAAAGCAATAAATCATATATGTTTAACTTTTGAATTGCATATTTTTAGGATAGAATTTTACATGACTTTCTAATAAAACCTATGGAGGCTAGTGTTTGGAATTTTTTGGAAATTTATTTTTAATTATTATATGATTAAATTTTTCTCAAGTATGATTGTCATTGCTCAATCCACCGTGTGCAGGTAAGTTGTCACAGACTATATCCGTCTTATAGGATAATAATCGGAGTATATTTACTTAAATTACATAGATTTAAGTTAAGTAAAATAACTTAATTTAATTAATCATAACAAAGTCGTAGAAGTGTTACATCCATTGAATATAAAACATAAATATATGTACGAGACTCTAAATTTTCTTGCTTATATTACTAAAGAAAAGTATGAATAGTAACATTAATATCAGAGTCTAGCTTCAAAACTTTCCTTCGTATCTTTGCTCACTCTGCAGCAGTATCTTCAATATTTTGAGAGTGATAGGGGGGTGAGATGAGATACCCCAATAAATAATATTATAAATCATAGGATAGTACATTCAATATATAGTTTATTTATACATAATAAAATATATATCATATAATCTTTCCAAAATAGATACTCAGAAGACAAATGCACAAATCAAAAAATAGATTCATAATTACTTTGTTGTATACTTCATCACTATTATGGAAGATCAATCAATTACTATACATTATGTATAAACACAAATACTTATATTTGATTTTTCATGTACCAGAACACGAAACGACATACATGAATATCTTGAAATACTGCTACCTCCCAAATACGGAATGAGTACACAGATAAGGCTGTTTTTCTATACACCTGAACACAGAACAGTTATGCATGGGTATACATTTATCACTTTGCCAATACACCTAAACACAAAATGATTATGTACGACCACATTGAAGCCTAACAGAATGCATGTGCTTCCAGAAAAACTCATTTTTCATAATGAGTGATGCACATATATCAAAATTATATTTTAAAAACATAAAGCGAAATAACACTTATATCAAAGTAAAATTTTAACAAATACTTATTTATCAAATACGAAAGACAAATTAAACACTTGCATATTTTTATACTAAAAATACATAAAATACTTTAAAATTACGCAAGCTATGAATCCATAATATTCACTTACATTAGGTTCTTAGCAGTTGTAGTCTTAATTTTGGTAGAGTTCTGGGTTATTTATGACATTTTCCTCTAAAAAAATCTAGCAGAATTTTGGGATGATTTTTGGTCACTTTCTTGACTTAAAAATATCCAACACAATACTCAAAAATTAATTCCAAAATTTAAAGAGAAACCAGATTTTAAAACTTAAAAAAAGGCTTACATTTATAACAGTTTATAACTTCCTTTTGATCATGAGCATTCTTCCTTTTCTCTTCCTCTTTCTTTACTCTCACAAATTTAGTAGAGTTTTTCCCAAGGTTTTTATCTAAAACCTCAAAATACTCTCAAAATATTACACACTCAGTA